CCCTACACCCACATTTCCCTTACTCCAGACCAGCATAGACCCAGTCTAACTTGCTGACCAGGGTTGAGCTTCTTACTTTGGATGCCAAAATTTGCATCCAAAGGAAGTTTGAGTTTCTGCAGAGCAAAGATGGCTCTAAGGTTTCAGCTTGAATATACATGCTCAGGGTACCAGGGACTTTGCTCTGGCGGTCAGTTCATGACTGCTCTTGCACTGAACAGAGAACTGGTGGATGTGCAGAGGCTGCAAGGGTCTGGATGTGTTTACCAGGGAGGTAGAGACTGGAAGTTAGTGTGGGTGATCCTTCCTGTGAGACAACATCTATTTTAAATGGATAAATGATTAGAAAATAGATCTTCTGACAGCATCTCACCTGCACTTGTGGTTCCCCACCCTGCAACCCATCAGAGTTGCCATGTATTGATGACATGTACATAGGGCAAGCAGACAGGGATTTTCTCATTGCTGAACTCAATGGGAGAGCTGAGCAGGATCAGAGCAATGTCATTTCGCATGGTCATTCTGTCAAATTTTTCATGGATGATCAAGCTGTCTGGCTTATGTTCTTCCAGCAGGACACTGAGGTCAGTTCCCCCCACTAAAACAGTGAGGTCTGGTGGCCTTATGAACAAAAAAGAAGCAGTGTAGAGATAAGCAAACATATAGGCTTTGTGTTATAAAGGTTGGTGCCTCCTGAGCAGGGTAGGGTGGTGCTCAGCAAATTTCAGAGGCAGGTTAGCTATAAATATTGCAGAAATTTACCTTCACTTCTAGGCAAAGCTGATCTTCGGGGGAGAGAGGTGTAGCCAAGTTATAAATAGCCCACTTCCTAATGAACAGATGGCTTGGGCTGAATATTCTGGATCTCTGGTGCCCTAGCTTGGCAGCTCCAAACTGAGCAGTCTCTGCTCTCAGACCTGCCAAATTTTGGAAGGGGCTCACAGAGGGCTGGACCCTGCCCCTGAGCAGTGCATGGGGTTGATTTATCCAGAAGCTACTGCTTTAAAATCCGACTCTTCATAAAGTAAAGGTGTTTGCTATATGAAAGCAAGGGTAATTCAGGGGTTAGAATAAGCTGGAATGGAATACATATCTTTTTATAAGGTACTGCAACATGTGTAGACACACAGAATCATAGAATCACAGAATGGTCTAGGTTGGGAGGGACCTTAAAGCTCATCCAGTTCCAGCCCCCTATCATGGGCAGGGACACCTTCCACTAGACCAGGTTGCTCCAAGCCCCATCCAGCCTGGCCTTGAGCACTGCCAGGCAATGGGCAACCACAGCTTCTCTGGGCAACCTTAGAGCAGGTAATGCCTGGGGCCATCAGGACAGCATCACAGGCATTTATACAAGGTTGCTTAGATCATCCTTCAAAATATTCCCCTTCTGCATCTCCTGGTTATCCAGATTCATGCATGTTTCTGTTGTACCTCTATCTCTGATAAAAAATCATCCTGTTTTCCCCAAAGGAGGCAATTCCTGTTTTCAAGACTCTCTTTCTGGCTCAGTAACATTTATCTTGCACTTAACCCCAAGGACATTCATATACTACTCCCACAAGGAGGAATGTTATCAACCCACTGTGCCTGGGCTGTCCTCACTTCCCTTGAATACTCACATCTCTTTTCCAAAGCAATGAGCTGCCGTCAAAATCCACAATGCACTGATTATGGTGCCTCCACAGACATGTCTTCCATTGTTCTGGATGCTCACACGCCACGGGAACTCCCCTTCTATGGCTTATCTCCCCTTTGTGAACCTCTTGCCTGTCCCCTGAAAGGACTCGTGAGATGGTCGGAGGCCACATTCTGGGAACAAAATGAGACATATTGCTCACCTACAACAGTGGCACCGCCTGTGCTACAAAACTAGAGAACAGAACATCAGCTAAAGCATTGGTCTGTAATTGTCCATGCTACTTTACCCAAAGCCCTTGGCATCACTGTAGCCACCCCAAACCTGCGCTCTGCCATGGCTAGCATGGCCACAGATGGTTTCCCATTGGCACGCTGGATAAAATTCTTGTTTAGGGAGTAAGAGTAGAGAAGTTCAGCGTCAGGCTGTAGTATAAGTCATACATGTATTCCACCAAAGATAAGGAATAAGGCCAGTCCTGTTCGATACAGCAATATGTGTATATCCTGTAGGTCTAATAGCAGTTCTGCTCTCCTTGTCATTTCTGAACATAAAAATTTGAGAAGAAAAACCTGCACTGATGCTGCTGATCAGGAAAGTTAAACAAAGGAGGGTAAAGAGCAGCATTGCAATCCCAGTCTTGGACCAATGTTTTAACAAGTGATGATTTTGAGCAGTGATGATTCTGCAGCAATGGACATCTTCACCATTCCATGTTCTCACCAGGGACAACACACATCTCTGCTGGGGCAATCAGGATGTGACATCACACGATCAGTTTGTTTCTGTTGACATCACCACCGGATGCTGTCCTTTCTCAGGCAGTGAGGGAAAGCTTAGTGATTTTCAAGAGGCTTGGGTTTTTGTTTAGGTATGATAGGGACAGGTCAGCAGTGAAATTCCTGTCTGTATCCTGGACTGAATTCCACATGGTACTGCAGTAGCGGACTTCATGGTTTGAGTGCTTGTAGTAGTTTTTGAATCTTGAACCATGTTCTTCTTTCTGAAGACCCTAGATGCTGGTCCTGCATCAGCTTTCATCTTCTGGTCTGAGAAGTGCTGAAGCCTATGAAAATCTGAATTAATTTTCTCTTTTTCATTTAGACCATGTCTATGTTCTCAGAAGAAAGATACAGATCTGTGGTAGGGTGAATTTCAAACAGTGACAAGTCAAAAGTGTAGTATCAAAGATGTTGCAGTAGCTACTGCCTTCTTCCCTGTGGGCAAGGATGGCTTACAAGATGAAATTCAGCTCAAAAAAACTAATCCATGAGGCTGAACCATTAGCATTTCAACTTTACTGATAGTATCACTGATAGAATTACTGCACCTTCAGCAGCAACTGCAAGAGATCAAGGCCAAAACTCTACCCTACAGCAACTCCGTGATTAATTCTGTGGTGGCATAATATTCTGGTGTGGCAAATTTCAGCAACAATGGGCCCATCTATGTGGATTTCTAAACCAACACACTATTTCCATGAAGGCAAATGAAAAAACTCAAACCCGCAGCCAGGTTAAGACTTGAGCCTGGCTATATTAAGGACAGAATGGTGTTTTCTCCGAAAACTTCCCAGCTCGTTTCAAAACAGTAACTGTAGTGTGGAGTAAGACGGGAGGGAGGGGAAAGGACAGAAGGGAACCAAGAAACATTTTACGATCACACAAATGATTCAGGATATGAAATGTTTTGCCTGTACATTGGAACAAATCATGAGTTATAACCCTGAAGTCTGAATTATGCAGAGGTTAAAAATGCATAGGGTCAAAGGAAGACTTTACTTTCCTCTCTTCTTTGCTTTCATGTCACTTCATGCCTAGGAAATGAGAGGGAAGTGCTGGTTTCCTTGACACTGAGCCCTAGAACACCTTAGTGTCACAACAGGTTAAGGACAGGCAATCAGTTACCACAGCAACTGGAAATTCTGAGTGTGATGAAAGCCCATTTTGGGGCATCTCCGGAAAGAGTCTAACATGGCAACTGTGCCAGCGGTAGCTCCTCTCAAGTTTGCTCTAGGTATAGATCTACTAAAGGGACAGGTTTTCTCTGGCTTTTGAGACTGGAATGAGCTCAGCATCAGCTGAGGAGCAAGGGAAGATGGGGAGCTAATTTCTCTGGCACTTACTGCTTGTCTTTGGATAGAGCAGGCAGGACTTCAGCAGTGAATTTACATGCCTGGAGACTGACTGCCTGATGCATGTTTTCAATTGCTCCAAGCTTGGAACAAGAGCTGGTCTGCTGTGTCATTGGAGGAGACGTTCAGGGAGATATTTTGGGCCTTTCTGAGACTAAAACCTGAGCTGTTGAGCAGGAAATATCAAACCAAGATGCCAAGGAGCAGAGTGCCAAGGAGAGCTAACTGAAAAATAAAAAAGGATTTGTGTCTCTGGATCCCACCTCTAGCCCTCAGAAATGGCTTTATGTGCTCTCCTGCCCAGAATTGACATACCAAGGTAGGCCTTTACAAGCTTTCCCTGAAGAAAGCACATCTGCAAGAGGACACACATGTACTTAGTGATGAAGACAGTCTCCAAAACAGGAAACACATGAGAAGCTCAAGCCCACACCTCTCACTGCTCTAAGTATTGCAAGCAGCATGTTGGATGGGCAGGGCAAACACATCCGCATCCTTCCTACTGAAGCTATTTGTCCTAGGATACTCCATAACATATACATCACAGAATCATAGAATGGTTTGGGTTGTAAGGGACTTTAAAGATCATCTAGATCACCCCCCCCCCCCCCCGCCCGCCATGGGGTACATATAACCCACTGGATCCCATATCAATACATATTAACCTCTGTATTCTCTCCATCCTTTGGCTGTAGCTTTTAGTCTCCACTCTGGGAGCCCCCATGAATAAGATGATAATTTATTTCTCCTCTTTCTGGCTGTCCTTCTATTTTGACTATGCACACACTGGAGCAGAGACTGCCCAACATTATGTTTGCACAGCTATTGCTATAATGAGCTCTGGTCATGGTGGGGGCTCCACAAGCTATTGAAGTACAAATAATTAACCACAGGAATAATTACGTTACAGTGTGGCCAGTACCGATTCTACTCCTCTGAACTGTCATGCATAATAATACAGATTTAAAAGCCCTGGTGTTTGATTAGCAGGCTGCAGCCTTTTATAATATTTGATACTTTCATTTAGATCTACCCTGATATGTACTTAGAGCCATGGAACACACCACAGACAACATTTTTCTGTTCTCTTTTTTGTAATTTATTGTAGCGCAGGAAATGAAAAAAAAGATTTATTTTTGTGTTTATACACTTTTTGGAAGAACATTACAATTTTTACTTTTGCTTACTAAAATTATTTCAGAAAATAGGCAGTATAGGTGTATTACATGTTGTGAAAATTTAATTGTGAGAGAATCACTGATCTTATAAATTCACCATTCTCAAAGACATCAGATTACAGGTTTGTGATAGTTAAGATGAGCTCAGCCATGTCTCTATGTGAAAGCTATCATAACATAAACAAATTTATTAACCCGAGCAAATAAACATACCTGAAGGCCTTAGCTATGCAAAGCATTTAGCAGGTGCTATAACATCCCAATTCATCCTTTTAACAGCATTTTGAGCCAAACTTTTATAAATTTCTCTCCAGATTACAACATTGCAAGGAAAACCCATGAGCTGCATGGAGCAAGAGGCTGCATTTGCCAACAGGTGCAATTTCTGCCTCTGCTTGGCATTTAATGTTGGGGAATGGGAAACTGCTCAGATTATGGAAAGCCACCCCAACAGGTTCCCAAATCTTTATGCAGTAATGATGCAGGCATGCTATATCTATCAGGGTTGCCGGTCTTTTTTCAGATTCCCTAAAGCAAAGCAGAGGCAGTGGAGTAAGCACAAGCTATTTCTTGATCCCAATAGGGCAGGAAAGCCCTGTTCCCCCCAGGCCGCAGTATCCACCAGGGTTCTTACTGAGGTACTGCTGATGGTAATCTTCAGCGTAATAAAACTCTGGAGCCTCCCGGATTTCTGTTGTGATGGGACCAAAACCGCCCCCTGTCAATACCTGTCAAGAAATATGATGGAAAGCCATTAGTGGTTTGCTGTCTACTCTGCTGATGAATGATGTTAGGTTTTCTCTCAGCAGGAGCTACAGAGATTTCTCAGCACTTGGACCACATTTGCAGTGCATCTCTGAAAGCCCTTTATCCTTGCTCTCATGTTATTTTGCTAGGAGACATTGTGGGCACCAAAGCAGGCATTGGTGAGAAGAGGTAGAGCATCCTCCTGCTTTAATGGCTCATTTGTTAATTTGCCATGGCCACACATTTGTTCTCTCCTCTTTATGAATCACGCCAGGCAGGGATGTGGTGCCATCAACAGAACTGGAAAACAAATGTGAAAGGCAGCAGGGCACTCTTCAATCAACCCTGGCCAGTGGCCTTGCAGCGTCTCAGAACTTCACCAGGCAGGTGTCTTAGCTTTGAAATATGCTGTCCACCCGAAATATCCTTATGCCAAGAAGACTCTATGGGTGAAATTTTGGCCTCATTGATGTCATCAAGAAATAAGAGTATCTGGGCTCTTTTTCATGGAGTTTCTACAAATCCATTCTTCAAAAAGAACAGTTCCATCATGAGCAGAAAGTATTTTTAAGGCAAATAATGGCTCATTTCTGGAAGATTTGCCAATATGTGGACCAGAAGCAATAACCACTTTGAAAGGATTAGGTGGGGATTTTATACTCTAATTTCTTTCTGATAACTCTTAACTGAATTTGAAACTCCTGAAAGGTTTCTGATGGAAGGAATTTCATTTTAACATGACTTGCCATGACGTTTTACCTATCAAATTGTGCTTTTCTAAGGAAACTGGTAAGCACCAACATTTTGAAGTGAATTCTCATCTCAGTGGGGACATAACTTGTGCTCACTGAAGTCCACAATAACCTAATAAACACTGCAACTGATGTCAGACTACTGTTGAAAAGCATACTTCTAAAGTACTGGATGTAGACAGAACTGCCTTGCTATCGATCAGACTTGACAGCAAGACCAACACTAAGAACAAAGCATCAGTATTTAAGATTACCAGATAAATATGCATTCTATCATCATATTAATAAAAAAATCAAATAAAAGGAAATCATCACACAGACTCACAAAACCAGAGCTAGTAGATCTATTGTAAGACATCAAGTTCAACTTCTTTCATCACGATACAACAATATCCACCTTATTTTCAGCAAACTTTTATTTAACTGCTTCTGAAAGATCTTTGGAGATGGAGATTGCTCAGTTTCCTTGAGGAGGCCATTCCAATATTTACAATCCTGTAGAGAGTTTCTCCTAAAGCCCAGCCCAATTAAGTCCACTGCTGTCATTTAAACCCACTGTTGCGGTTTTCACATCCATGATGATGTGGAAACCACATCCATGATGAATGGATGTCGATGTGGAAAATAAGTAATTCCCTTCCTCTTTACAGTAGTCTTCTATATACTTGGTGGCTGGCCAGAGAGAAAGATGACATGCAATGGAAGCAATGTTTCCTCACAGCGTTAGCTAACGCTTTTAAATAATAGGTGATTATTTGGGACTAAAAGACCTTCAGATTTCCTACAACAGAGTTTTCTAGACCCTGCCTCAGCACATCTAAGTACTGACCAGAGCCTGACACCAGTTGCTGGACTTTATAGAGCATTAATCTGATTTATTTTAGTAATTTCACTGCCTGAAGGTTACATTTTGCTGTATTCAGTTTTCAGTCGGGAATGAAACAATAAGATTGGCACAAAATCCATGACTGACCTGTCTGGGGAGCCCCTAAATTCTCAGGTTAGGAAGATGTTGACTAGTTAATTCATTGTATGTGAACACAACAGCATAACAAGTTTCACAGGAATCTGGTCTTATCTCCCCATGGAAAATTACGTATAAAACACAATTACATGAAAAACACAAACAGTGTTTTTCATCTTTGGGACAGACTTTTTCCCAAGGGAATCAGACTATTTACCCATCAGATGTGTGAGCAAAGAAGATAAAAAATGTGAATATATGTAAGTGTATATATCACATCTCACTGGCAGCAACTAACACAAAGTATCAACACAACTGCTTTTAGAAAGCAGCATTTCACTTACTTTCTAAACTTCCTAGCAAAGAAAAGCACTTTTAAAATTATCTTCACACCAGAAAGATGGCACAAACTCTGTCATCATGGGCATTACTCATGTACTTGCGGCTGTAAATGTATGTAAAATTGGCTTCCCCTCCGCCTTAACTGAGTCATGAAGATGCTGCTGGAGGGATAGATATTTTTCTACTGTGCAAAACAGTACTCGTTACAGGTTTTTACCTGGCACTTTCCATCACTGGCCTAATTTTGTCAGTTAGAAAATCCATTCTGTTCAATAACATACCACAAGAGGGCATAAACATCATTTATCCCTCTCAGAACTACTAACAGCCTATTAAAACACTGCACGCTGAATAAAGCAGAAGCCCAAGACAACTCATTATATTGCACTTTGGTCATTAGCAAAAGATACCAGCACTGTTGTCAGAAGCAGCAGGAACCCCAGGCTCCAACACTCTGCCAAACACTACCTTGAATGTTTTGATTTTAAATGGGAAAATATTTTTCTCGCACTGACTGTGTCGATGCAAAGATAAAAACATCGCTGGGAAGGATGACGGAGTTCATGATGTGCTGGTGCCGGCAGGTGTAAATCAGCCCATCCTTGATTGATTTCCTGCCGCCAAGGCAGATATAATTTGATGATAATCCTATTCTAGCATTTAGTCCTTTTTAGTCCGGTTTCAAAATTCCTGAGCCATCCAATGTCACCTCCCATTTTCATGCTGCAGCCAAAAGGGCTACCACAGCTTTTGCATACAGAAATACGAAGAACCAAATAAAAGACAGTGTCATTAATCCTTGGGACCTTTTACTTAGTACGGACATTTTTTAGGCACTTTTGGATCTTTTCCCCCCCAGTATTCCACTGCATTTCAGATAATTAATTCATTAGGGACTGTAGTGACAGGACAAGGGGTAATGGGTTAAAACTTAAACAGGGGAAGTTTAGATTGGATATAAGGAGGAAATTCTTTCCTGTTAGGGTGGTGAGGCACTGGAATAGGTTGCCCAGGGAGGTTGTGAATGCCCCATCCCTGGCAGTGTTCAAGGCCAGGTTGGACGAGGCCTTGGGGGATATGGTTTAGAGCGAGGTGTCCCTGCCCATGGCAGGGGGGTTGGAACTTGGATGATCTGAAGGTCCTTTCCAACCCTAACTATTCTATGATTCTATGATTAATTCATTCAAGGGACTTGTGTGGCTTTTGTCACAGGAGAGATCATACTAGAAGATCACAGTGATCTTTAGCTGATCATGATCCAGTCCAAAACACCTGGAAGGTACTACTGGTGAGAGGCCAAGATAAACCAGAACCCAAATCTCACCCAGGTGTAGAGGGCAGTGGAGATGTGACCAGCTTGGTCTGTTTGGATAGGTGCTAGAGCAGGAAGATGTTGAAGCCAGCACTGAGAACCTCAGTACTGCTACTATTTTAAAACCCCTCTGCTTTGAGCATGTAAAATATGTTGTGTTTGGTGAGTTTCCTAATTTATTATAGCCTGTGAAAGTTTTTTTCCTGCTGTTTGCTTTAAACTTCTTGCCTGAACATGTCATTACATCCTTTGCTGCACAAAATAATGCCTTATTCACTCTTTCCATAGTGATCTTGATTTTACACCTCAGTTTTAATCCTGCTCATTCACTTCTTCAGCAAGCTTCACAGGCTTAGACTCCCTGCTTCACAACTCAGGTCAGCCCTCTCACCATTTCCTGCATCTTTTCTACTTCTATTTTACTGCTGCATTGAGATGGGGTGACTGGAATTGCACTCTATTCAAGAACTTCACGGATTTATTCAGTGGTGTACTTACATTTTCTCTTTTATTCTCTATCTCTTTTCCAGCAATTCTTAGCATTCCACTTGCCTTTCTGACCTCTGCTGAGCACTGAGCAGACATTTTCAAAGAACCATCTGCAATGACGCCAGAACCTCTTTCGCGGGCTAATTTAAACCCTATCATTGTGTCTGCACTTGACTTTTATCGACATGGAATTTCAGCAGCTATCTTATTGCCCAGACGTTTGATATTGTCAGATTCTTCTGCAACTTTATGTAGCCATGTTTACTTTTGCTTACCTAGAATATCTCTATACCATCAGCAGATTCTGGCATGTCACTGACGTCTGTCTCCCTTTTCAAGCTCTTTTATGAGCATATTGAACTGTACAGGTTCTGAAGGCAGTAACTGGTAATCTCCCTTCACTGCAAAAACTGCCCAGTTATTTGTGTCTTTTATTTCCTATCTATAACCACGTATTCATTCAGAAGAGAAACTTTCTTCTTATTCTAGTGCCTGGCTTGCTTTTATGCACCCAGTCTCTTCAAAAGACTATATTATGTGTGCAAGACACAAATTTTCTCTGCTCACATCAGCTCTTCTCTGAAACACATACTCTATGTGTCTGCTAACTTCTGATAACTCAAGCAACCTGCAGCATAAAACATCAGACCTAACTTGCCTGTAATTCTGCTGGATCATCTTGAAGATATCTTAAGCACAGAAGCAACACACTTTTAAATTCCAATTTAAATCACAGCTTATCCATGATGCTAGTGTGGAAGCAACTGCCAATTTTATTTCTATTCATACCTAAAGCTGACCACCACCTGATTGCACTGACCTGCCACTGTTAATTTCAGTGATTTGCTCTGAACTTTTTTTGCTATAGCTTGAACTTGAGACAGGTCCTTAAAATTGCAAGTATTACCTGCTGTGGGGAACCCCCTAAATTCCTCAGCTGAGGACACAGACTTCAGGAATTACATAGCTTTCTGCTCTGGTATTGTGTCAAGTCCTTCATGGTCAGCTTGAGCATTGCAGATGCTTTGTCTCCAGAACTGATTCTTAAAATGCTCAGCTATCCTAAGGAAAAGATATTAGTTAATTAGTGAACTGGAGCAATTATTTTAGATGCAGATTTGC